CACCAAACGGGCCCCACCCAAACGGGGCCCACCCAAACGGGGCCCACCAACCCAAACGGGCCCCACCAAATGGGATGAGATAACCAGCAGACGGGCCCCACCATGCGAAAAGAAATGAATGAACTTGAACCCAAACGGGCCCCGACAAATGGGCCCCACAAACGGGCCCCACCAAATGAGCCCCAGCAAATTCGCCCACCCAAACGGGCCCCACCAAACGGACCGCCCACACCGCAAACGAGCACCACCAAATGGAGTGAGATAACCAGCAGACGGGCCCCACCAAATAGGATATGGTATAACCAGCAGACGGGCCCAGCCAACAGAGGGGATGAGATAACCAACAAACCGTCTCCAACCAAACGGGCTCCACCAAACGGGCCCCACCAAACGGGCCCCACAAAACGAGCACCACCAAACGGCCCCCACCAAACGGGCCCCACCAAACGGGCCCCACAAAACGGGCCCCACAAAACGGGCCCCACCAAACGGGCCGCCCACACTGCAAACGAGCACCGGCCAAATGGGCCCCACGAAACGTGCCCCACCAAACGGGACCAACCGAAATGGGCCCCACCAAATGGGCCGCCCAAACGGGCCCCACCCAAACGGACACCACAAACCCAAACGAGAACCAGCAAATGGGATGAGATAATCGGGAAACGGGCCCCGCCAAATGGGCCCCACCCAAACGGGCCCGACCCGAACTGGCCCAACCCAAACGCGCCCCACCAAACGTGCCCCACCAAAACGGGCCCCACCAGCCCAAACGCGCCCCACCAAATGGGATGAGATAACCAGCAGAAGGGCCCCACCAAGCCGGCCCCACCCAAACGGGCCCCACCGTAACGGGCCCCACCGACAGCAAACGGGCGCCCCCCAAACTGTCCCCACCGACCTACTTTTTCCAACCCACACCATTTGCCACCCCAACACGCAACGAAAGCCCGTACTGAATAACCCCCTCCCCAAACCCCCAACCACTGCCGGAATTTTTTTTTTGTTTAGTCGAAACGTACACTGCGACGTGTCGAACACCCCCTCTTCGACAAAATCGCAAAAAGGGGGTGGGGGTATTTTTTTTCGGGGGGTCATAGGGAACCAAAAGTGACCCCCACTGAAAATTACTTTTTGTATTTTTTTTCGGTGCGCAGGCCTAGGGACGCCGATGCGCCGCCGGAAGCCGTTTTCGGAATTCCGAACGGACCTCCCTATCGGCCGCCACAGGTCCGCGCGTCCGCGGATGTCCGCCGCCGAGGGGGATACATAGTTGCCTGTGGATAGGGTTTTTTGGCTAGTGAGTGTCTGGCGGTTTCTTTGATTGTGCTAGCTGGTCTGCTGTACCTGGGAGTGCTTTGACCTTAGACAAACTCTGAGCATATGGAGGAACCTCTGCCTTTAGGTAGGGGAGGGCACTCACTAGCCGAAAAAAAAATTGGCTCAACTATCTGAGCATATGGAGGAACCTCTGTCTTTGGGTGGGGAGGGACACTCACTAGTCTTTGGTGGTTTCTTTGATTGTGCTAGTTGAGCGAATGTTTTTTTGGCTAGTGAGTGCCGCCCCC